CGCATCATCCAGATGACCGGACCCTCCCTCAGAGGCCTCACCGAAACTCGGAGGGTCCAATGGTCTGAATCTGTCTGGGGCTCATCCAGCAGAGACGGGAGCCCCCCATGGCCACCAGCAGGGGACCCGTGAGCTTGCCATGGTGGTCCAGAAACTTCTGCAGCACGGCCTGTGGGTGGATGGGCAGGTCAGCGGCCGGCCCAGGGCCGAGGGCTCAGGAGCTCACATCCCGCTGCCCACCTCCGTCTGGTTGTCTAGGGCCACATCGGCCGCCAGCAGGGCCAACACGGTGTCCCCAGAAGTGATGTTCCACTGGCCAATCTCGCTGCTGGAGTACAGGTAGACGAGTGACGTGATGCGCCTCAGCTGGTCCTCCGGAAGGCCTCGCGGGTAGATCTGCAGGAGCGGCCAGGGTCAGCCTGCCCTCCTTCTGCATGCACGGCCAGCTGGCCAACCTGTAGGGCTGGCCCCGCCCACCTGACCAATCACGGCTATGCTCACATGACAAGCCCCACCCACTTGCCAGCCCCTCCCACATCACCCGCCCAGACCACTTGCTGCTCCTGCCCACCCAAGCAGCCCCGCCCCACCCACCAGCCAGCCCCGCCCACCTGGCCGAGTTTGGCCTTGACCACACGCTGGCACTCAGCGGGCAGTGGGTGCTGCAGCAGGGGGTCCAGGTTGGCTCGGAGCACGCGGCTGCCCAGGCAGGACTCCAGCTGTGGGCAGTCGTAGCGTACCAGGAAAAGCTCGTCCCGAAGGGTGGCCGCCGTGATGTCCCCGTGCACGCAGGCTCGCCCTGTGGTGGTGGGACCCAAAGCACCCAAACTTCAGGGCCCGCCTTGCCCCCTAACCTGGCCTCCAACCAGCCGTCCGGCAGGCTGGTCCCACGGGGCCCATCCTCACCCCTAACTTGGTCTCACCCAGTCGTCCACAGCCCAGTCCACAGTGCCCCCAACCAGACCCCCTGTGCCCCATGCCCAGGTGCCCCATGAGTAGATGTCTCCACATACAACTCTGTGCAGAGCTGCGGGAGCGTCACCAGCCTCAATGGCCACTGACCTGTGCCCCGCCTGGACCTTGGGGATGCCACCTTGGCCTTGGCCTTCGCCTCCAGAAAGCCGCTGACAAAGCGTCTAGCATCTCGAGGACTGAGGTGCCCCTCGCGGAAGGCAGCCACAGAACTTCGGAAGAAGTCTAGGCCCACAGCCTGTGGGGGGGTGGGTGTGGGTGTACTTGGGGAAACGGATGGGCATGGCGTCTGTCCCCAGGCCGCTGGTCCCCTCTCTCCATAAGAAGAAATCCGAGACCCCAGGTTGGTGTCTGGGATACCATCTATTTGACCCCACGTCTAGGACCGGATGGGGAACACTGCTGGATACCCCTGGTGCCCTGTCTCCCCCAGGACAGCATGTCCTACCTCAGGCACCTGCATCCACAGCCGGGGTCTGATGTGGGTGGCCAGTGGGCCCAAAGTCTGCAGCCCTTCCAGCGTCCAGGAGCTGGGGGACCTGATGTGAGGGAGGGCAGGCTGTGGAGGCCCAGAGGGGCACCCCAGCTGTCCAGCTGGAGCCCATAGGAGAACCCCAATTGAGGGGCCAGGGGCTGGGGGGCCTAGTAGTTGCTGCTCCACCCCCCATGTCTATTCCTCATGGACTGTGTGGATCAGGCTGAGGGTCAGAGGTTAGTGGTCAGAGGTCACCAGGGCTGTGAATCTCTGAACAAGCCAGGGAGCCCTGGGCGAGTGTGGACCTGTACCCTGAGAGTGGGTGGGTGACCTCTGCAGCCTACTCACCCCAGCTCAGTTCTCCCACTGGCCAGCAGCGTGTTGAGGGCATCCTGCTGGGCAGTAGTCAGCCGCGGGCAGTGCTGTAGGTTCTGCAGGATTCGGGGGTCGGCAGCCGGGATGCTGGCTGCATCCAGGTCACACACTAGGCTCCCAAGCAGCAGGAGGTCCGAGGCATTGAGTTGTGGTGAGCCCTGCGAGCAGAGGGTCAGCACGAGGGGAGGCCAGGGCCACCCTTCAAGAGAGGGTCGGCACGAAGCTGTGTCCCCACCTCCTGGACACCCACCAGGCAGTCGAGGGCCTTGTGTTTTAGGGCAGCCCTCTGGTCAGGCAGGTTGGCCAGCAGCTCCAGGTCCCCCTGGCCGGCGCGGTGAGTGAAGGCCTGGCAGTCGTCAGCTCTCACCTGAGCCAGGCTGTGGACGGCAGAGGTCTGTCAGGGTGGGCCAGGCCCAGGAGACAGGATGTCTAGGGGCAGGGCAGGGCCTTGGGGTGGTCACTCACTCGTAGAAGAGCAGCAGGTCCGGCGGGTGCCTCTCAAAGTCGTGTTGGAGGCCACGTCGCCTCACGAGGTTGGCCAGGCAGCTGAGCTGGCGAGGGAGGGGGCTGTTCACTCTCCATCTGTCCCCCCGCCCCCCCATGGGCAGGCCAAGTCCTCAGCCCACCTCTCTTGGGCCCCCT